AATGTACATCGGCCATGCCCGTATTACTTACAGGAAACAAGGGGTGAAGAAGACAAATGCTAGGGGGATGGAAGCCTTGCGTTCGCTCCTGCCGTGCTTCCTCTCTGGCTTGGTCGTTCCTTCCCAATGCTGCATACTTGTGCAGACTCGTCGGACCACGACGAGGAGCAAAGAACGCAAGGTTCCTTCCTTCGTTTCAGGCATCTTTCACTCCTGGCCTCTTTTCACCATTCTCGTAGTTATTATCCAAAGAGGGACAAGTGGCTCACATTGGGCCTCGTGCCTTGTGCTTGAAAGGGTGAGCTTGTTCCCTGTGGGCGTCGTCCACTGCAGTCTTCAACGCTGTTGTGTAGCGCGACCACAGGTTCGTGTGATCCTATCTGGAATAGTCCGTTGTTATTTTTACCAAGAAAAAAAGAATGCCCGCGTGAGTAAAAAAAGCGGGTCCAAAGACATCAGCGCCTTCCTCAGCATCAAGGGAACTGGTCAGAGAAGCTAGCCACACTCCCACAGCCCTCCTGCATCTCTGCAGGTAACAATCGCGGCTTCCGGCGACCCACCCCTTGCCGTTCTTTTCTTGTTCGAAACCTGGTCTTGCTTTGTGCCGGATTGAATTGCTTTTACCTTATTCTTAGCAGTTTCTTGGACGTTTTTATTGCTCAAGGCTCACAGACCCACATACGCTGCAGCCAATGACAAGTATTGTCTGCTCTGTAAAGTTACTTTGTACGATTTACGCAGTGACGTAGATGGGAGCATTCCCAGAGGACTGTAAGGCAAGAAGCAAGGGTCGGCTCCTTCCCGACTTGTTGATAGATGTGTTGTGCGGGCTTAGAGCGTAAGCAGAGAGTGATCAACTGCAGAAAGAGCGAACGAGGTGCGAACGATGAACGAGAGAAGCTGCGACCACTGTCCATTTCCGCCGCCCCTTTTCTCCCCAGATCGGATATTCCGTAAAGGAGACCTAGAATCACTACATCACATTTCTTCTTCTGTACACGATTCGCACCTCCTATCGCCCAGCATGGATGCGGCCTGTGTTGAGTGTTTGATCCTGAATTAAGCCGAGACTCATGTAAGCCTTGTGTTCCCCAGTCCCTACCATCTCGTGAAGGAGTGTGTCCCGATTCGATTGTTTGTTTTGTTTTTTTGTTTGCTTCTCTCCTTATTGCTAACCAATTGCTGCGTCGTCTGCAACTCGTTTTTCGCCCTTTCGCCTGCAGCCTTCAGGCACCCGTTGCAAATGACCCTACCCCTTGCTTTTGCATCGGGCAATAAAGGCAGCTGTGGCCATCCCAGTGCCAGCCAATGGCCTCAGCGTCTGTGCTCGTTTGTTGACCAAACTGAATCAGGAGGCACCCAACAAAATCGCATCTCGTCCTATCCGGATTCACCATATCTCCATTCGCCCTTGCAAGTGCTGCAACCCTCTTTGCCGTCCGCACATACGATGCCTACAGAGGCGATTGTCTCGGCTGCTGGCACAATGCTCTCTGTTACGAAAGCCCGTCAATCGTCCAGTGCCTATTGTCACTGCACACGTCCCCCTGGCCCGCAACCTTATCGATTGCACCTGCTTGTGGGTTCTCTTTTCTATTTTTACGTCCAGTGCACAGCAAAAGCCTTGGCGAGTGCCGAAGTCGATCCGTGCTCATACCCTTCTCCAACCTTGCAAGGCTGGGCATGTTGGGAGAATAAGCTACGACTTGCAGACGTGTTTACCTATTGCTTCGCAAAGTGCTTTCACAATTACTGTGTAATGTACTCTGTGAACGGTACACATTTGCAAACTGGTGGGAAGAACGGAGTTGTACGGCATACGCCACTGGACTCACCGACCGGTCTGAGGTCATTTCTCCGAAGATCGTCAAATTGTACTTCCGATTTGCGCCTCAAGCGAGGTTTGGAATGCCAATATTTGATGCACTATTGTTTGTTTTTGCTTTCTTTTGCGTCAGTTATCTCACGCAGGATCCAGCCCGTTTGTTGAGGACAAAATGCAACAGCGCAGCGGATGGGGGCAGTTTTGTCACCGCTGCTTTTCAGCTGGATTTGTTTGCAGCTGTACACTTAAGCGTTTGTCTCACCTTTTTGCATCTTGACGCACGCTGTTTCCCAAGGCATAGAAAACAAATTGCTTCTACCTCGTTGTCTTGTCACAGTCTGCTGAGAAGTACAAAGTAATTACTTGGACCTGCAGATAGGACTGGACCTTGACCTAAAGGGGGTAAATAAACGAGAAACATTGTGAAAAAATTTTCGCGATCCTCGTTGCGCCACCCAATGATCCGCACCTTGGCGTCTTCTGGCTACATCCAACACAAAAGGGTATTGTGATGTGAGAGAGCGCAAACCTGGATCGGGCCGGATGTGAGATGCACTTTGCTCAATTGTCTTTTCCTCTCCCTCTTGCATCTACTTGCTGCAGCAACATTTGGTCTTCCCGTCAGCAAGGCGGGACAGGGGCCACCACAAAAAATGAGAAGAATATGCATATTGATATCGAGCACCCAACAGGTGCTATCGTGCTGCATGAAAGCACAATGCATAACGATCGTTCGTTGGACCGCAGTGGAAGCTTGGGCCGCTGCCAGGTCACCATGCATCCCAATGGAACCACAGCCAGGCCAATCCCGTCTTTTTCGAGTTTTTTACAAGAAAATCCTTACAATCCGAGTAGTCACATCAAGACAAGCTTCTAGCTAAATAGGTGCGCGGGAAAGGCCCAACCCGACCAAGGAGAGCTCCATGGTCCCTTGCTTCCTTGCCCCTGTCTCCGACCCTGCCTCTTGACCCTGCCATTGGTAAAGCCACTGGTCCGTCTGTTTCTTCTGCGATGAAGTCCCTTCAATTTCTGTCTTCACAAAAGAGAGTGAAACACAAAAGGGGGGAGAAAGAGAAGGAGAAACATATACTCGTCCCGTATTTGGTATAGCTCTCTTCCCCTAGAGCTGCATTGCATGAATGGAACGCAGGAGCAGAAGAAAAATCACGATGGTGTGCACCCGATACCGTAAGGGTAACGGCGGCAAGTCTTGAAAAATCGGAGGCCAAACAAAACCCAGTGAAAACGTATCCAGTGAATATGACACTGCTTTCGTTCTGTTGGGGTGTCTCTTTCTAGCCTTTTTGCACAACCTGCCACACGACAGCATCCTTGCGTCTCCTCAGGGCATGATGTCTTACATATCTTCGTGACACGAGAGCAAGCGTTGTCTTATGCTCGTCTCTCATTTTGGGCCGACTTCGGAAAGGTCACGGATAAGTTTGACACTCTATACGATGTGCATCCCTACATTGTTTCCTGTTGGAAACATAAACAATTTCGTTTCATAACACATCGCTATATTTTCCCAGATTCCCATACTCTGCGAATGGGAGACCTGAAGACGGAAAGAATTACATCGTTTACCAGGAAATTTCAAGACGTTGAACGCCAATGATGAGGAGGCGTTCCGAGTCGGTCTTGCTGGTGTATGCAAGCCGAAGGAGACGTGCAGCACTTTGTCTCCTTTGATGTGTCCATTTATTTCATGTTCTTGCCAGCGACTCGACAGAGCAGTGCAAACAATTCAGCTTCCTGGCCGGCTGCCGAAAGAATGGAAGAAAATGTGACAGCTCACATAGGACCATACGCATATGCGGACGACTTGCGTCTCTGGGCTTTTTTTGTCTCACTTTGTCACAGGATTATGAGACTTTTGTACCCTGTGGCTTATGGTGTCTGCTGGAAGCAAGGCTTCCGCTTCTTGTGGCCATACCTCCTGCCGTCACTTTTACTGCTTCATTTATGTCGACGTCGTGATTTTTTTCTTTTCTTTTCTTTTTTTTTCTGTTTCCTTTTTGCCATGTGAAATCCATGTGTCACGATGCACACAAAGAGGTAAAGCGATACAATACACAGTGGAAAAATAATTCACCTCCTTATCTAGCAAAGTGCGTCTCCCGTGGCACCATGCAGCATGCAGGCGACGTCACCAGACACGGCAAAGGCTCGAAAGAGAGTGACAATGGGCCAAGTATGCATGCAAAGAAAGAGTGAGACACCGGCCGAATAAAACGACAAATATTTGCTGGAAACATGATCATTTTGGCTCCCCTTTTGGAATAAGGGGGTTTCATGGAAATAAAGTGGAAGGAATACAGGGTCTGAGGTGCTTTTCGTTTATTGTCATTTTTTTATATCAATATATATGTCTGTATGTTTTAATCAAAAAAGAAATGTACAAATTATGAGTTTCCTCTGGACATGTCACTATCACATTTTCTTGTTACACCAAATACTTGTTAGGTGTGCAGGTTTTGTCTCGTATAAAACCATGTCAATTGTGTCCTCCGTACAGGGGTCAAAAAGAGAGCCACATGTCGGTGTACGGATGTCAACTACCATTGATGCCTTGCCAAGTACAAAATACAAGGATAGGAACGGCCCCCAACGGAAAACCGAAAGGTCAACATGTAAAAACGCACGGGTAGCCGCAAAACTCTCCGATGTACATGTAGCACCCACTATCTCCTCCAACGGTGTGGACGGCAATGGCGTGACACGTGGGAATCCGGTTTTATTTTTAACAATGTCATACAGTACTTTACGAAATTCGGAGCTTGATATACTTATTATTTTGAAAACCTTTTAATTTTGGTTGATGTTTAAATCAGAAATCTGTTTCTAAAAGATGGACCATTGCAATGCAAACCATCAGAGCACGGGGCAATAACTTTTGGTCCTTGGGGGTACGAATGTAAGTAAACAATAACAGCAGCAAACGTATGATGATCCCTTGCTTTGGCTCCTTGAACAAGGACAACAGCAGCATTAACGGAACCTTTTAAGTCTCTTCTTGGAACTGCCATGGACGTGTTCTTCTGGCATCCTCTTCGTTCTTTTTTCTCAATAACGGTTTGTGGCAAGAGCTGTTTCGTTTCGTCCGGCCAGTACATCCCACCACAGCGACATGGCTCAACCGAAGAGGCACGCAGTCTTGACAATTTTTTTAGTTTTAGTGCATCCCGAGAAGCGCGCGGGCACCCGGCTCGCTGCACACGTAGATGACGTCGTGGTTGTCCGTGAAGCCGTTGAAGCGCGTGGCCGAGCAGCTCGTGTACGCGCCCATGTCCTCAAAGTACAGCCAGTCACCCACGTCCAGCGTCTGCCGAAAGCGGATGCTCTCCGTGATGCGGTCAATGCCGTCGCAGGTCGGGCCCCAGATCGAGTACTCGGTGCCCGCGGCACCAGCGTCGGCCGTGGTCGCATGGGCACCCTCGGTGTCGTACAGGAACCGCGCGTTGGAGGTCAGCACCTTGGCCACGGGATTCTGGTGGTCGAACATGATGCTGCTGAAGTTGCCGTACAAGCCGTCGTTGACGTACACCATGTAGCTGGGGTCACGCCGGTCGTTGCCGTTCAGGGCCGGCTCGGGGTCCTCGAGCGTGCGGCGAGCAATGATGTTACAGGCAATGGTGAACACGGACGAAACAAAGTAGCGACCGGGCTCGGCAATCAGGGTCACGCCAAGATGGGGCGGGAAGTACTCGTCCAGAGCGTCGCGGAGCACGGTGGCCATGCCCTCAAACGAGTCGTCGCTGCAGAAGCCGCCGCCAACGTCGAGGGTGCGGAGGCTGTAGCCGTGCGTGGCGGCTTGGCTGAACACGGCATAGGCGTCCTGGACAGCCTTGAGGAAGGCCTGGGGGTCGGAGGCACCGGAGCCGACGTGGAACGAGACGCCGACGACGTTGAGGTTCAGCTCGCGGGCCAGGGCCAGCAGGCCGTCGGTGGTGTCAAGCGACGCGCCAAACTTGAGGCTGAGGCGGCACAGCGACGAGCTGTCGTCGGTCAGGATGCGCAGGAACAGCTCGGCGTCCGGGTAGAGCTTGGCAATCTTGCGCAGCTCGTCGGCGTTGTCGAACGTCATGGCGCGGACGCCCTTGGAGGCGACGTAGCGGACGTACGAGTTGGTCTTGCAGGGCTGGGCATAGATAATGCGCGACGGGTCGACGCCCATGTCCAGGACCTGCTCGATCTCGGCCTTGGAGGCGCAGTCGAAGCCGTTGCCAAGCTCGGCCAGGAGGCGGAGGACCTTGGGGTCGGGGTTGCACTTGACGGCGTAAAAGGGCTTGACGCGCGGCAGGTTCATCTTCCAGCGCAGCTGCTGGCGGTAGACCTCGCCGAGGTCGGCGACGAAGAAGGTGTCTTCTTCGCCAGGCTCGCAGAATTCATGGTCAATGTTCTCCACACGCTGGCGGAGAGCATCGCCAATCAGTTGCTTGGCATTGTGGGCATGGGTTGCGCCATGATGCTGTTGTTTCTTGATATGGCCAATGTTACTATTGTGAAATGTAACAGGGGCGACGCATTCAACCAGAGACGTTGTTGCCATAACCATCTCCTTGACTGGTGAAGGGAACGTGGTAATCAAAAACAAAGCAGCGCTCGGACAAGAGAGTCGAATGAGACAATGGAGACAGTTATGTCTGTTGGTCGGAGAACAGCACCGAGTTCTCGAGCGTGTTGCTGGTGGCGGAAAGAGTTATATATCTGTCGAGAGTCGAGAGTCGAGAGACAAGCGAGTGACTATGCGATGTTTTGCTAGAGCAAAAAGGCTGGAGAAAAGGGAGCAACCAACGTGGTGAAAGCGATGTTATGGGGGTCGGAATTGATAACGGACAGAACCAGAACCGGTCTGACGAGGCCTCCTCGACTCTTCCTCGGCGAGAGGAAGAACCTCAGAACCTTTCCTATGCGGCAGCTGGTTGTGCGAGGACGCTGGGGGAGGTGGCCTAGGGGTTGGGTCCAGATACGACGACCCGGGGAGCAGCGTAAGCGGAGACGCGCTGGGCGAGCTCAGCAGCGGGAGGAGGAATCGCGTTGAGGATGTGGAAGGGCTGGCGAATGCCGGAATGTTGATCTGCGAGCAGGAAAACGGCCGAGAAAGCCGTGGTGGGTGATGGGGCGCCTTTGGGAAGCAAAGGCAAGCCTGGGCGAGGGCGAATGTTGTCGAAATTGAAAAGCGGAAAAGCTGTGTGTTTGACGAGCTGGGCGGCTGTTAGCTAGGAACAATGGATGGCCGAGACGTGCGAGTCAATTGAGAGCAAAGACCAGGCAGAAGTGAAGAGAGAGCGAAGGAGATGGGCGAAGGAGCAGATATCGCGGCGAAAAGTGGCGGGCAAAAAGCTACGAAAATATCGCGGCACGCCGAGCGGGTGGATGGTGCAATGGCGGTATCGGAATGCGCCCTTGACCGCAGCAAAGGGTTGACTTACAAAACAGGTAGAACGAGGTGGTTGTGATGGTGATGGAAGAGTGACGAAAAAATAAGATGAGAAAGAAGACAAGAAGGAAGATGTGCAGAGGTGGAAAATCAGGAAGGAGGTGACCGTCGTCGTCTTGCCTTCAATTTTGCAACAGAGTTCGGGAACCAGACCAAGACAACCGAAAGGGAAGGCGCGGGCCAAAAAAAAGATCGCTAGTGGGGAAGCGAATGGCGAAAAAAGGACAAAAAAAAAAAAAGTTTCGTGGTGGGGCTTGGGGTTTTTAGGCACGTTACCATGTACCTCACCCGCAAAATATGTATGCCGCGATACCTTGACAAGCATGCTCCCATCGCTATAGTGGGCTAAACAACGCTGATTTGCTGTCAGGTACGAATTACTGGAGTGATTACGTCGTAATGCTTACGACGTACGAAGTACTTCGTACATCATCGATGACCAAGTTGGAAGGCGCGACTGTGGTCAACAGGACACGTGAATTGGCGGTGCTACAAATTTCCAATATGAGGGAAAATTCGAGCTGCCTCTAGCTTGGAAGAGGCACTGCTGGTAGTGCTGTCTCTACCGGATTCATCGACAGCAGCCGAATGACTCGAATGGACATCTACTTGCTGTAAATGCTCGCATGCTCGCCGCCTGTTGCGTCAACATTGACGAAAAATTTTAAGGTGGGGCCTGCCGTCTCCTTTTTAGTCCCGTCTCGAGGAAGGAACGAACGCACGGTTGGGACACATCTCTGTATGCTGTTGCAGTGTGGACAACACTCCTTCCTTCACTGACCGCAAGTTTGTGCTGCTATTGTGGAGACTGTGACGAGGAAGGTGCAACGCAACGCCAGAGGCCTGGCATAGTTCTTGCTTGGGCACATATAAAATAAATGGAATATTAAAATGGCGAACGCGAAGACGCCGATTCTGGTTCACACAGCCACGCTCCAAGCTGTGGCATATGACTGACGCAAGGCCATTGCCACTGCGAGGATTTTGAACAAGGTGAAGGCTGATCGAACATGTCGAAAAAGGAACGCTTTTGAGATATATAATAAAACAAAGGAGCAAACGATGAAAATCCAGACATGGAAAACGAATGGCGGAATAAATTATAAAATAAAAAAATACATAATAGTGACGGTAACAAGGATGACCAAACCATTATTCTAGAATGCTGCACTTGTATGGACGGCATGCTTGTGAGTGCTGTCACTGGTCACATCTGACATCCCAAAAGGGACAAGAGCCTGACGTGCAGCTGCAATGCGACCAAAGAGGGGGACAGCAGGCCGGCGGACAGAGGAGACTCGGAGCTTGCATTTGAGATGCTGTCCCATTATTGGCCGCTTGTGTTGGCTGATCGGGAACCGCAGCTGGCCATGCATGTGTCATTTCGCGCTGTTCGTGTGCAGTTCGTGTGCCGTTGGATATGATTTGCACATGTTCGTTCCTGGGAGTTTTGTCAGATATCCCGCGTTTAAGACGGGCGACATCATTTTCGTTTGTTGCCGCGAGAACGACAAAATATCGCATGAATTACGTCGTAAAATATGTATCCTGTTCTTTAGTCCGACATTTCAAGGATGGATGAAGAAAAAAGTCGGGTCTGATGCAACGGACGAGAAAAGCTCTGAACGAGAACTAGAAAGTAGAAAAGGAGAAAACAGGACGACAGGAGGGCTTCAGCTGAGCACCGAAACCGGCTCGATGCCTCTCTCTTCCCTTCTCCCTCCTTATCTCTTCTCTTTTCCCTCTTGAGTAAGTTTTGTTCTTGCGCCGTTTAGTGGTCTCGATGGCTATAGGGGTTGAACCGAGCGGACTCGATGCAAAGCCACGAGACGTATCGTATCTGAGCGCTGAAAAGTATTTTGTGCAGGGGGGACGGAGGGCAGCACCTGAGGATAAATCATGACACGCTGTGCTGCTGCAATCGTAACATGCTGTCTATTTTCGTCGTAGATGCTGTGTATGTGCTGGTATTTTTGGCTGCTTTGTACAAGTGGAGTGAGTTGTGTATTGTCCCAAGGCCTTCTTCGTCTGTTTTTGTAACCAGGTCCCCGTCTAATATGCCCAGAAAACGCCGAATGCTCCTACCAAAAAAAAAAAAAAAAAAAAAAAAAAAAAAAAAGAAAAAAGAAAAAGAAAAGAAAAGGGCCGCCTCCCCGCCGCCTCGTAAAATGTTCGTTTCGTGGTCGACGTGATTACTCTGTCTTGAAGTGCATCGCCTCCACGTTCCACGCCGTCGGATCGACCCATGGCTGCTGCTCGCCGAGGAACACGGTCCGCTCGGCCTGCTTTGCGAGGCCGTCGACGAGGTACCGCTGCGCCGCGTTGCGCACCTGCTCGCGCGAGACGTCCAGCAGCTGCTCGCGGCGCGTCTGCCGCATGGCCTCGGTCACGCCGTACAGGAACTGGCCCATGCCCTCCTCGTTGACGGCGCGCGGCGCGTCGACGCTCTGGAAGATGGAGAGCTTTGCCTCCTCGAGGTCGCGGTCGGTCCACGCGCGCTCGACCGACCAGCGGCCGGCGTCGCGCATGATGCCCAGCGTGTTGGCCGGGTTGGGGTCGCGGTACGAGTAGAAGCCAAAGACGCCCTCCAGCGCATTGGCGGACGCGCCGCCGCCGTACGCACCGCCCTTTTCGCGGATCTCGTGGTGCAGGTGCTTGTGCGTGAGCAGCTGCGCCAGCACCTGCAGGGGCGCGCTGTCGGGCGACGTGTACGACACGGCCGGCACGACGAGCGCACCGTAGTAGACCTGGTAGGGCAGCGCGTAGAACGTCTGGCGCGGCGTGCCCTCGGCGTTGGCAAAGACGCGCTGCACGCGCTTGGCAGCCTCGGCGGCCGCGGCGGACGCCGTGCCCCCGTGGGCCGCAGCGGGAGCGGGAGCGGGCAGAGACGACATGAACTTGGCCAGGGCCGACGCGTTCGCCTCGACGCTCTCGGTGCCGCAGGTAATGGCGGCGCGCAGGCCCAGGCCGCTGCTGCTGCCGCTGCTGTCGGCTTGCATGGCGAGCTGCTGGATCTGCTTCAGCTTGGCCAGCACGTCATCGAGCTGGTCGGTCTCGGGCCGGTTGGCGAGGCTCGTAATCAGCTTCACCTGCGACAGGCCGCTGACCTGCTCCCGCAAAAACGCGCTGCGCGTCAGCCCGGCCTCCGCGGCACGGCGTGCAAACGCGTGGCCCGACGACGCAATGTCGTTGACGACGCCATCGGACGCTGCCTGCAGCAGCTGGCGGATGTGCTGCACGGCCTCGGGGCTGTCAAAGTTGGTCTCGAGGACCAGCGTGCGCAGCAGATCCAGCATGGCGGGCACGTTGCGGTCCAGCGCCATGCCGGTGAAGAGGATGCCCTCGTTGGCGTCCGTGTAATCGGTCGGCGACGCCGACGAGTGGTAGCCCACAGACACGCCGCCCGTCTGCAGCTTGATGCGGTCCTCGAGCTGCTCCATCGTGTCCGTCTTTGTGCCCAGGCGCATGATGGCATCGGTGAAGAGCGGGACGAGCGACCGCAGCTCGTCCGGCAGGTGGCCCAGCGCGTTGATGGCGCGGAAGTACGTCAAGCCGTTGGTGGGCGCCTCGCGCCATTGCAGGCGGACCGCGTTGTCGGCCGTCTCCTCGCGCACCACCACGGGCTCCTTTGTGCGCGGAATGTCCTGGACGTGAACCGTCGGCAGGCAGCTCAGGTCTTCGGTGCTGGACTTGCCCTGCTCCACGAGCAGCACGGCCTCCTGCTCTTCGAGACGCTGGCGCGCCGCCGCCTCGCCGCCCGACTGGTGTGCGACCTCGGCAATCTTGGACGCAAGGCGCGCCTCTTCCTCCTGCGCGAGCTCTTGGCTGTAGGTGGCCGAGGGCGCCATGGTGAAGGAGAGCGTGTTGCGGCCCAGCAGGTACTTGTCCATGAGGCCCTCGAGGTAGCCGCCCTCGGCCAGCTTGGCCTCGAATGCGGCAATGGTGTCGTTCCAGGCGAGCGCGTCAAAGGGGTCGACGCCCGTGAACCACTTGGGCTTGAGGCGCTGCAGCAGGGCCATGCCAAAGTTGGCCGTCTTGTGCTTCAGGCTGAGCTCCAGCTGGTGCAGGTAGCCGTCGATCTTGGCCCGCTCAAAGCCCTTGTCGCGGACGTTGCG